ATAGAAATGGAATAAGAGATGAAAAAAGATTTTTTTTTTGAAAGTCGAGATCCCGACCACCAAAAATGGGAGAGCTACACACACACACACACACACACACACACACATATAAGTGCGCTCAAATGACAATGAGGCACAATAAAAGATACAAAGATGATTCTGGGCCATTAGATCCATCACATTAATGACCATGATCAAGTCAAATTTTAATAAATAATAATCAATCATTAATGATAATATAGTAAATAACTTAACATTTATTGGTTAAATTTGAACATGTAAGGGAAGTTGTGTAATTATATACATACCCACCCAATATGTGGGACCCACCACAATACAGTAAATTCATTCTCTCACCCACACACAAAAAGAAAACACACACTCATAAATCATACACACACACTCGTTGCAGCCAACACAAGTATCGTTGTCGTTGCTAGCCGGCCACACTTGTCGATCCAGATGATGTCCACGCCATCCCCTCCATAGCCCCGCCATTCATGCTGGCCGCCCTCAGTAGCCCTGCTTTAATATTTAATTTAAGAGTTTTTCCTAAGCATGCTCCAAATAATTTTACATGCACATAGAGCAATAAAATCATATAAGCACATGTATAATTAGAGTTAATAATAAACTAAGAAATAAATCCAACTATCATGGCCATTTAATTATTTTCTAATTCTCTTAGAATGTTGGCAATCCTTGACCTTGTCGAACTGCCTATTCCTTCTCGGAACTGGAAACTCTTTTTCGTCGTGACTCCCGCTTTTCTTCTTGAACATGTAGTCATTGGGAAATCTCTGGGTGGCTTCGCGTTTGCGTGATGCTATGGTTTGCCCGTCATCGTCGATCTGGCATCGTGACCTTGTTGTTTATCTTGGGTTCACGGTTGACTCACCTCTTCTCGTCGAGTTCGTTCACGTCTGCCGGATCAAATCGAATAGTATAATCCAATTTCATAGTTCAACCTACGGCCGTCGCAGGATCTGTACATGAGCGATCTAGTAAAGCAATAAACTATGCTGTGTCCCACCACAAGAATAATTTATTTCAAGCATTCACAAACCCAAAAACTTATCGACATGTCCAAGGCTTATAAAACATACACAAATTAAAAATAATATGTACGGGCCATAATAGTTGGATTCGAAATCACGTACAAACAACTTTTGAGATTTGAAATCTACTATACGTTGCTTCCGTACACAAATAATTCTTATATGCAGATAATTCCTAAATTGTGCACAAGGATGAATTAAGCTCTGATTCCAGTTGTTGGGTTCTATCAGGAACGTCATCGATATGCATATCCGAATCTAAAGAAGTAAATCTTAACGCAATAGAATCTATAGCTAGGATTAAGATAATACCGTTTAAAATTTTGCCGACTCTGAGACGCTATAAATTTTCTATGTAGGAGATCGTCTGAACCGCATAGTCTGTTGGACAGTTGGACTAGGCCTCCTCGGTTGATAATGGGTCACCGAAAGGAGGTCGGGTCGCGATCGGGTCATCGGGAATCATCACGCACCGGACGTTATCCAGGTGCTCACACGTCGGGCACTGAAGGCAGCAGGCGTGTGGGTCGTGTAGTCGTGTGTGTCTATAAAGTGGCGGTCGACTTTTGGGGTGCATGGGCTCGTGTTCTATCTTGAGCATCAGGCGTTGGATGCAGTCGTATGCAGCGTGCGTGCAGGGATGGGGAACAGGCGTCGTACATGCTGCTGGCATCAGAGGTCTGCGGGCATGCGCGGCAAGGCTTCAGGAAGCTGGAAACTCGCAGCGTGCAAGGAACTCGGGTGATGAGAGATCGTGATTCTTGCCTACGGTTGTGAATAATCACGCACTAAGGGCCTTCGACTAAACACGATAGGTTGTGACTAAAGACGCTCTAAGGGCCTTCTTGTAGACACGGTTGTTTGATAAACATGCACTGACGA